AAATAACAAAGGATCCTATGTGTGTTTATGTCTCTGTTAATGTGTCTTTTTGTATCTCCTGCCTTTCTCTTTTCCCTTCTCTGACTCTAACTCTGCCTCTTTGGTTCTGCCAGTCTGTTGTCTGTCCCTGAAAACACAAATTATTTTCTACTGGATTCGTAGGGAAAATATTCCTGAAAGTTCTCAGTGTTCAGTTTGTTCTGAAATTACATTATTAAGAGCTTACCCAACAAATCTCAACATTGATCAAATGGAAAAAGGAAGAACCACCACGTTACAGCTCTAAGCAAAACCACTTTATGAGCGTGTGGCTGGGGTGCACGTTAATGACACCAGTGCCCAGGTGGCCAAATTTATGTCCACCCTCTTGATCTGATAATACAGAGCAGGAGGATGAATTGGTAATGAACCAGGCTGAAAACAGATGGTGGCTCCATGTGTGTATGCTGCTGAAAACCTACAAAGGGGAAACATTAAATATGTGTCTTTAAATTTAAATTAGTGCATTTCAAAAAACACAGACTGTTGAGCTTTTGAAAATAGGCTGGCTGAATGTGTTTCATCTTATAGTTTTGAACTCTGATGTGTTTTGTGGAATAGCAACAGACAAAATGGATGGTATGTTAGTTACCCTTTCTTTAGCTCCTCAATATCAGTGGTGCTCCACTGTAATTAGGTACTTGTGTGTAGTCCTTTGTCATTAAATTTGCTAAACCCTAATTAGGAAATTTAGAAAATTCAAAAGACCACCATCTAAAAATTGGCGCCAATTATTAAATATATTTTCTCATATCATATGATTTTTTTTTGCTCCACAATACTGATTGTGTTTAGTGCTGAAATGATTTGTTTTGAAATATTTTCTTGACATTTAAACAAACAGTATTTTATCAAAATGAACTAAAATAGATAACATTCTACTGGCTGTATATATACTTGTGCTGTACGGGAGATATTTGGGTATGAATCTATCCAGAAATGATTGTTTCTTTGACTTACACTCAGTAACAAATAAAACTGGTGCTTAAATGCCAATCCAAACACATTCCAGAATGATTTGGGGGAAAAGCTACCACAAACTCACCCTATGATTCTGTAAGGGCCTTGGATGATTTAATTTGGAACTACCTAAAAATGAGTGTAGCTAAAGTTTGGTAAAGTTTATAGCGAGTCCACAATTCAGTCTGGACTTCTCAGGCAATGGAGTTGTAGGAAATCCAGGCCCAGAAAAATGAAGGGTGGGAATGATATACTTTCCACTTCACATCCCACATCTGCCCTGCAAAAGTCTCAGGCCATTTTTACCTGAGCAATTCCTTCTGTGTTCTTCCAGGTAAAACTCAGAGTCCAAACTCAAGGCAGATTCAATTTATATCTTGGACATGCCAGAGTCTACCCAAAGTGGCAGGATTTCTTAGCAGTGCCAATTCTATACTACTGTATGGATTTTTAAAAATATCATATCACTGTTTCTTTTTGGTGTGGTATTGATGATGATGATGATGATGATTTGGGGAGAATTTATTATAATTTTTTTCCCTCTTTTTGTACAAAGACACTGAAATCTTTAACAAATGTCTTCATTCAGGAAATATATTGAGTACCAAATACTCAGCAGTCTAGGCAAACAGGG